GTCACATGGGTAGTTCATATTGCGATTTACGAAATTGTTGACTCAGGATAGCCAATCATTTAACTGTCCCTGCTGTTACCAGGCAATGATCTACGAACATTGTGACCAATCAGATAGAACATCAGCTATAGCATAATTCTCGGGCCTTGAATCATAACGCGATAAATTTTCACATCACAATGCAAAGCTGCAACGAATCTTCACCACGACAAATAAACGTTGAAACATTAACGGCTGTTCCGTTTACTACCCCGTTAGATGAATCTGACTCTGAAGAGATTTTAGCTGAAGGTGCCGCACTTCCATCTAGTAATTTTTCAGGCACATATGCCACACTTGCTCAAAATTTATCTCTACAAGGAATCGCAAGCTCGACAAGACTTGGTGACGCCTCAGGAGCTTCCTCAGATTCTGCAGATTCAGCAAAAAAAACTAAAGAATATTCTGAAACAGTTGCTAAATCATATGCCGCTCTTGCTGAACAGAAGGGATGGAAAAATCCAGACAACACTCTATTTCCTATATCACTGAACAATCTTTGTAATTTTTTACGTGTCAAAATGGCTACTAATAATTCTAGAAGTTTAGATTGGTATATTGGTGGTCTCCATAGATACCAGAAGAATGTACTCAACATTCAAAATTGGGATGACGTTCGCAGACATCCAAGTGTAAAGGAGCTTTTAAGTCAACTTAAAGCAGAAAATAAACCAAGAAGTGGAAGAGAGTCACCTCCTGGTACTCCAGAAAAGGGAAAGCGCAATAAACAAACAATCGATGATAATAGCTGTTTTGAGTCGGTTAAAAGTACACCTGAAGTTGGATCTATTAGCATCGATCTTTCTAAACCGCTGAGCCCGATTGATTCCAAGATATCAACTGAAAGTATTCTTGAATATCGTGGTCCATCACTCTCATCTTCAAAGCCTTTAATTGATCCATTTTCGTCAATTAAATTGGACAATGAGAATATTATTATCTCACAAGAATATGATTCAACAGTATCAAAACCTAATTCTGCGGAAAAATTCGATCCTATGGTAGTTTCAAACTCTGATGATGATGATTTGGGTCCTCCTAAAAGTAGATATTATTATTAGGGAAGTGCCGTTTATTACATAATTTCAAGAGGGGGGGAGGGGGGTTGCCAGTCTATCACGTCTATATATTATATATAAAAATTATAATTGGCTACTGATTAGATCACGGGGGGAGGGGGTATAGCCTTATAATAAAAAGAAATTACGTAATAAACGACACTTCCCTTATTACCCTTGTTTTATTATTATTGTTTATAACTAGTAAATTAATTATTTTTAGAAATTAGCAATGCACGAGGTGGTTATATAGCTACTCCTAAAAGTAAGAATTTACTTAATTTTTCTACGCTTGATTGGTTAATATGCATAATAGCAAAATGTCATTATTTTTTTAAGGGCGTCGTAAAGATAACGACAATTTACATGAAGCAAACCAAGTAGATGATGATGTGAGTATTTTTATTAATGTTATTATTTGTCTTTATAAAGTTGAAACCCATTTATTAATAGTCAATTTTTTCACTGTGCAGGATGAGCCAGAAAGCTTTAAATCTCGATATGAGAAGGCTCTTGCTACGCTTAAGATAAAATATAAGAATTGTTGCAGATATCATCCTGAAGGATGTTTTTTATTAAATAATAATCGACATTTTATTCTCAACGAACGTTTGTATAGACGCTGGGCTGCATTATGCGTATGTAAAATCAACTATTTTACTCTTTTTTTTTGTATGATTTAACTTTAAAATTTTCTCATATAGGCGTCCGGCGACGATATAAACACAAATTTATTGCCTTCTGCACCAGAACTTGACGAATTTTCCGAAGAAAATGCAGTTCAGCTCTAACTAAATTAGTGGTTTGACCCGTCTGAAAAATCATGACCCGGGTAACCTGGCGGGTAAACCCGCGGGTCACCCGGGTGGATAAATGATAAAATAACATAAAATTCTATCTTCTATAATTATAATATGAAATTAATAAAATATTTGATGAATTGCACAAGAACTATACTGGAACTGATTCATAACATGTCAATATAATATAATACATTTCTAACTCTTTTTAAACAACTCAAGCGCCTAGTTACATTACCTAATTTTTCATATCAGATATTTTTCTCTTTCTGCATATACTGTAACAAAATTATCATCTCATGAATATCATTATATGAAAGAATTTTAATTTAAACCTCAATTATAATCTATGGATGCTATTCAAAAAAATTGATATATTGATGCTCGATTAGCAGAAGGGAACACCCAAATGTATTTCCGTAGTAAAACAAAAAGCTACTCGATACGTAAGGATCGAAGTAGCTTTTGTCTCGAATCATCACGAGACCAACATGTTAGGTAAGTATGAAGTAATCCTTACGTGAGATGAAGTTTGATGAATAGCGATAAAATATATTTTATTGATTTAAGAGAGTCTAGTTGCGTCTACATGCTTTGTATATTTAAATTTGCCCGTATAAAGTATTTTGGTTTATCAATAAATAGTGCTCACCCCATAGTAATAAATACCTCTCTAAATGAACTCTCAACTTTTGGTCCAAGTATATATTTGACCTATAAATGTACTTTTTCTCTATTAGATGTTTGGTCCCTATGGTGGAGGTCGTATTCATTCAGATAGCATTTAAGGAATTACATAAATAGCATTACTATTGTATTGACAATAAATAAGCGGTGCATAATTCACTGCCTTCATTTAATATTGGTTTTTTAATTCATTGTAGAATTCCACAAAAAGTTTTTAAAGCTAAGTGCTCCAGAATTGATTACCGGTTAACCGAAAGATCAAACATAATAATACCTTTTAATCTTTGGGTTATCCTCCTTGGTTTCAGTAACAATTAAATATCTAATTTAGAACGATGATTAAATGTGTTAATATATGATGTTAAACAAATATAGATTATGTCGCAAAAGAAACCATCAGTAAAAAATTAGAGTATTTTAATTTTAAGATCATCGAACAGACTCATTGCTATATTAAATCATCAGGTAGTTCTCTTGAAAATGAATTCTAACTTTTTTGATCAATAACTTATGAAATAATCACCTCAGAAAAAAAATATATATATTCTTGAATATAATAATAACGAAGACGGCTGTCCAGTAAAGCTTTCGGTTATCAAATTTAACACGTCTACTTTTTGCGCGGCTGCACTAATTAATTTAGGCCGATGATCTTCAAAATTCTTAATTTTGGCCGGAATTAGTTTTTTAATTTTTAGTGTTGGCCAAATAATTGGCTATATAATAGCCAAATTATTAATTCCTAATTTATACGTATAACACATTATATAACCATAAAATATTTGGCCAAATAATTTTATAATTTTATGACAGGGTGAAACCCGCGCTGCAAATTAGTAAAATCCGCGTAGCGCGGATTTCACCCTGTCAAATAAAAGTTATACCAAAACTTTGAGCAAAGACATCTTGGTGACTACTTATTTGAATTCTATGGATACATAAAATTAAAAAAAACTCATCAAATTAACCTCATACAGTATATTATATTAAATTATCATCTATCACAAGTGTTCTATACATTTTTACCAATTATTTCTTTCGTGTGAAAAATAAGGTACAACTTGCATTCTTATTGCGCTTTGAATTACCAATTTAAAGATATGATTTCTCGTATCCGCGGATATTTGGAATTACTATTTAAAAATTACAAAATCTTTAACCGTCCGTTTTGGATGATTTTACTGGGGTGCCCAACATTATAGTTAATCAAATCTATGTAAGGTCAATCGATAAATATATAACGATAATAATAAATTTCTAAATGTTGTAGATCAGTCGGGTATCAAAGAACAAATTTTATATATAAAATTAAAAAAATTTTACGTAAAATGATTTAATAATTTTTTCTTGTTTATATTGCTACAATTATTATAAATAAAAAATTTGAGCGAAAACTATTGAGCCAGTGAGTCTAAACATCTAATTTGCCTCACTTTACGAATACTTCAAATTTGTATTATAGCTATATATCACGACCAATTGAATTGCCGAATTGATATTTGTATATCAAAAAATCTGCACTTAGCGGATTTACAAATTTATTAACATAGTTTTGATTAATTATGATATTGGACACCCCAATGATTTTATATACCATCAAAATGACTGCCTCAATGAGACGATTCTAACAACTCCTACAGGGAGATCCCCAGAATTCCGGGTCAGAAGTTTCGGAACTCTGGTCGGAAGGGCCGGAGTTGATCAATTTTGCCCCAAGATCACTAAGAATTTTACTAATGAAACAAT